TGATGAGGGGGAGAGTTAAGGCGCTTGCATGTGATTAGAAGCAGCTAGCACAGGGACCAAGAAAAAGGAGCACAAATCTGACTGTATTAGTGCATCTGATCCAGACTGCTGCTCAGGTGCACTCAAGGTTTGGAGCAGGCTTTTTCTGCATCTTTTAGGGTTAATTGTTCCATGTTACCTGCAATGACACTGCACTATTATTTGCATTAACAAAACTAGAGTCTTCACAGGTAACACAAAAAGAGGTTTTGTTTCAGATGAACTGCTTATATGTGTCTTATATACACAAATATTTGCTTGAGGCCTGAGTGAGACCCACAGGCTGTAAAAGTATGATTTAAAACTTTTGTAAGGGGGGAGGAAGAGCCAGAAGAAGTAGGCACGGAATAGGATTTAAAAGGCAGAGAATAAGAGGAAATAAGATGCTCTTTTCTTGTTCATTTTTAAGCAGGGAATAGGCATTGAAACACTGGGAAACTTGTATGATCTATACTTTTAGACTTGCATTTATAAATAGAGATACTAACAACTGGCATTTTTACTGACAAATATATCCAAATAGATCAAGGAAAGAGTTAATCAGAAATGGGCCATGTGAGTGAGATGTTATTTGTAGTGACTCGCTCTCGAGTTTATATAGATCACCTGCAAACTCATGCTAGAGCCAAGCATTTTTCTCTTACCTTAAGTCAAATTCATTTTTAACCATAAAATGAATATTCCAAATAACTCTGGTCTGTCAGCAGTTGAAAACTTCTCTGGCATGATTGAGCTCTTCAGTGAAATGTAAGTATTTCTCAATTACAAAGTTTCTGTAAATGCTTAGGTTAGGAATGATCCAGCATACTCTGAATTTTTATAGCCTTTAGTGGATTAAATTAATGGTTTTTAATATGAATATCTGCTCTGACTTGTAGAAAAAAAGTGAAGAATTTAGAGAGGTGTGTATTGAGATATAACAGTACCAGCCTTATGCATTACAAATATTATGAACTTCTCTGCAGAATACCAAAGAACTGAATGTTAAAGGTTTTCTCTCCTACTTTATTACAACATTCCACATAATACTGAACCACTGTTACCTAATTACCTTATTTTTCACCGTCTTGTTCATTTTGGAAGGAGCTTGGAAGGGATTGGTTGGTGAAGCAATCTGAAATCTACAGCATTTCCCAGGATGATACTACAAGAACTCATTATGGCTCATGAAACACTCACAGATTATGGTTTTCAATGCTACAGAAATAACTGCAAGGGGAAAACACACAAAAAAGGAATGTTGCTTTGAAGGGATAGTAAAAAATTGAGACCTCCCCTGATCATTGTTTTTTTTTGTTGTTGAAGCATTTATATATTCTGTATTAAATAAAGTGGGTATCCAAAGGAGGAAGGGAATTTATCATCATTTAAATAACGCTTTACAGAATGGATGCACAAACAGAATGCAGTTCAGGCAGCAGAATAAGTGAGGTGCCAGAGAAAACAAAGAAAAAATCCTTTACTTACACAGGGATGTTGTTGCATGCTGAACACTATACCTGGAGCTATAAATAAAAGAGTGAAGTAGTTTTCTAACCTTAATTAAAAACTTACTTTCATATCTAGTAAAAAAACATTTTTACTAGATAACAAAAGGAGTCATTGGGCCAGCAATGCCTTGGATGACTAAACTGTTGTCTTCAGCAACTGTACTGATTCTCTCCCCTTCTCTTTAATCTCAGATTTTAGTTGGAATGGAGCTGGAACTGTGGTGCCAGTGAATTTTATATAACTATATACACTTTTTTTCCTCTCAGTTCCCACTTTTATCAATAGTTTAGACTTTATAGATTTACTTGGGATCACCAGTTGCAAAGAGGGAAGAGAAACCAGGTACATTTGATTTGAAAATAGTCTTAAGTATGATCTTGGACAAAAGAAATCCCAGACACAACAGCTCTGTTCACTCCTTCTCCTTCTAAATCTTCCACCTTATTTACTATATTTCTGATCTCCCCCATGCTGATATAGGTGGAGGAAAGCTCATAATTACAAGAATGTAATTCTAAAGCTTATCTAGAACTTTTAGGCTAGGATAAAAATTCACAAAGAATCTGGCAAAACAATGACAGCAAAGGAACTACCTATAGGCAGTATGAAATTATTTTGGTTTGTAAACACAAAAATTGGCTGTGAGAAGTTGCAAAAGAATCTAATGAGGCTGAAAGATTTGTAATCCACTTGCAGATGAAATTAACTGTTTATTTGTGCAAAGTAATGGGAGAAAGGGGGAGAAGAGATGGAATCAACCCTGACTAAGCCAAAGAAAATTGGTCTGAAAATTACTTATTACCATTCAGGAAATATATCTTGGCACTTCTGTGGGTAGTTCAAAAAAATGTCAACTCAAAATGTCAATGTTCAGCAGTGGTCAAAATGCAGATGGTGTATTAAACAATTAGTGGGAGGACTTCAGTGGAAAAATCAGAAAATATCACTATGTCACTTCAAATTCATTCTCTGTTTGCATTTTGTGTATCTTTGGTTTTATCTAAAGAAGGCTGAAAATGATAAAAAGTACAAAACAGTTGCTAAAGGGAGGTTGAACAGAAAGAAATATATAAAACCATAGGCACCATACAGAAGGAACAACTGTTTGTTATTTCTCACAGGATGGGACCTGTAGAGCTGCAACTGAAATGATTGCACATTGTTTATAGAGCCTACAAGAAAGAAAATTGTTACCCAGAAGAGGCACCACATTGCTACCACATGATGTGGACCTTGAAAGCTAAAAAAGGCCCAAAGATAAATTAATGAAAAAAAGAAAAGAATCATTAAAAAGAAGGATGCAGATATAAACTTTTGTTTAGGAAGTCTCTGAGCTGTGCTTTGCCAGAAGATGGGAGTATGCAGTGGGGAAAACTTCACAGTGCTAATCCTTGTTCATTTCTTGTTTTCTCTAAGCCTCTGCTGTTGGTTCCTGTCAGAAACCTGTTACTGGACAGGATATTTGCTCTGTTCATCTTGTGATTTTGAAAGAGCTGAAAGAAAACTATGAGACAGTTTCAATTAACATTTTTGAGTGATTTGGCTTCCTGCTCACCTAGGAGCCTAGAGGAGGTCCCTGCTCTTTCCTGGCTGCTCAGGGACTCCAGTTTCATGGGGAAGGAGACTCAGGTAGCAGGAGATGAGGTCAGTTCCCTCTGTGATCTCAGCTCAATGCCTGCTGTAGAGATGGCTGTATGGTTCAGTAACTCATAAAACAGAAACAAATGGTGTTATTGGGGTCCAGACACCTCTTTCAGGCTGAAGCTGAGGATGCTCTGCTGCTCCAGGCCAGGGGATGGTTAGAAGTGCATAACCAGAAGTGGTGACAGTGGCACCCAAATACTGCAGCAGGGTGGGGCAGTGGCAGATTGGGAGCCAGTGGGCTCAGGAAGAAATCAGCTTCAGTCAGGAGCAAACATTGCACTGTGACTGCTGTGGTTGCTTCTCATACTTTGCTTTGGAAAAGGTGTTCTTTTACCCAGGAATGTTTTCAGGTGCAAGGCAACAACTGTGAATATTATTTTCTGGTTAAGACTGGAACAGAGCAGCTAATGGGCTAAAATGGGGCATGAGAGTGGATTATGTACAACACTGCTTTGCCCAGAGGATATCAAAATTACAGTCTTCAAGGCCAGTGAGGAAAAAAGGAATTGTTAAAACATGAAAAAGATGAGGAAAGTGTAATGATTTCCTGAGAGATGAAGTAGAATATTTCATAGGATATTCCACATGGGGGAATAATAAACCTGAAATTCATACTTATGTTAATTTAAAAATACATGTTGTAAGTGGCATCATTTCTTTGCATGGGAAAATATTGAAGAGGAAATTAAGGATAAACTCATAGATAAATAGCACCTAAGAAGAAAAAAAAATAGTTATTTTATTTCTTTAAGAACTTAAACCCAAAAGCACTCCTGCCACTTTGAGTTCTGCTGATATTCTCTACATTTGTTTTGCAATTAATGAAAATATTTCTGTTTCATTTATGAATTTTTATAATTGAAGATTAGTTTGTTAGACTCAGCCAGATGCACTTAGTGCTTAGTTCATAAAAAAAAAAAAGAAAAGCTGAAATAACTGCTTAGACATGAAGAGATTTTACTGTGCTTATTTGTTTACTATGAAGTCTTGGAACAGCAACACAGATGTTGGAACAAATAGTTCCTATTACAGCTCTGCCTCTTCTCACATTGAGTTTCAACTCCTCATTGAATAGATTAGCTCAGCATTTAAAGTTTTTTGAAATAACTTCTTAGTTCTTTGCATACTAAGACTTCATAATCTCTAGACATCAGCAGATTAATGACCCACTAATTAATTAAAAGACCCATTGCTGTTATATCAATATTCCTCATCAAAGAAGAAGTATTTCCATTAAGAGGAACCCTAAAGGCTGATTTGAATATTTGTTCCCTTGAAGAAGTGGCACTAACTCCGCTTGCTTTGCTCTGGACCAATTCTGTTCAGCCATGAATTATCACCGGTTGTAAATCCCTGGGAGTCAAAGCTCAAATAGTGAAACAGGATATACTGATTCAGTGATATTTACATGAAAGATCAAAGGCATCCTGCTTCAGAGTGGAGCACACTGAGCTTTGATGAGCCATGAGGAGCTTGGCCTCGTGGTTTGTCAAACTTCCAATTTTAGTAATTTTTCCTGTAAAATGGTAAATGCATACTTTTGCAAGTATGTTTTGTTTTTCTGTTCATTTCTTTGTTTTTGTCTGTCTGTTTCTTTGTTTTGTCTCCTCAGAGAGAGCAGGATCTCCAACTGCAGAGTACTGCAGTCAGTAGCAATGCAGCTCCACCGTTTAATACTCTGCACACAGAGTCCATAACATTCCTGACTTTTCAACATTAATAACCTTCAAAGAGAAGAGAAGTTTAGGCATCACCTGTTTATTCATTTCATTGCAGATGCTGCCAAAAGCATTTCTTTTTATTGACACTTTTCTAATTTTTTCCAGAATGTACATGTGTCCACTTGCAACCATGGCAGGACCATCAAACCCCACCATGTAGCCACAGACAGGTAAGATTTGGTGAACATTAAGACAGTAAGAGAGTTAAAAATTGCATTCAAATATGATGAAAGAAACATGTAATTGGGAGCCATTTCCAGAGGTGGCAAGTGACAGTGAAGATAAACAGAACTGAGTTTTGTGTTAAGCAAAGAAATTTGGTGTAGCTTCAATTATTTTGTTAAGATTTAGGCTTAAAGCCTAACAAGGAATTCTTAGACCTCATGTATGGAGACAAATTCATTAAAAACATGATACTAAAATAGGTAGATAATTATCACATAATGATTTCTGAAAGTGCTCACCATTTAACTAACCAAGCAATATTTTAGGTATCACAATGGACGTCAGCTCTGTTGCTGGGAAAAAGTAACCAATTTCTTTCACAAAGTGGAATAATTGTCACTAAGAGCAGAGGAGGTACTTCCTTAATTCAAAAGAATATAATGTTAAAGCAGTATAATTATATGGGGGTTGTTATGTATAGGGTAAAAGAATGATTAAGAAAGATGCTCTGTACAGAACAAAAGTGATTAAGAAAGCAATCAGGCACTAATGTACTGTACTGTTTTAAATGAGATTTAATTCCTGTTTCATGGTTTGTCTCATTTGTGCTCACTTTGAAGAGCCAAGAGAATCCAGTTTTTTTCCTGTAGCCACCAAGTACACAACTCATACTGAGAGGTGTAGTACACCACCATAATTATGCTAAATTATTTGGAAAGGGTGATTACTTAATGAATGCTTTCTAGTATCTATATTTTGAAAGCAACAGGGAGTGGCCCCTCCACTGGTGGTTTCTCCTCTGCCAGCAGGTCCAAGAGCCAGGAATGCTGCCAGCAAGGGCAGGTCAGGGCAGTCACTCTGTTCTATCCCTACCAGGATGGAGGATTGCACTGCCTTTGTTCTCAGTTTTCAATGAAGTGGTAGTGGTGTCACAAATTGAGGTTAAGTTCTGGAGAGAATTTGTCACAGCACATCTCATTTTGTATGAAAATTATTCTTGTTTTTCAGTTCCCCCTTTTCTGGGTCTGCATGACTAGATCAAATACAACTTTAAGGGGAATGTACATAATTCATCAAAGCAAGAAAAAATTAATATTAATTTCATATATTATTTTTATGTATATTAATAAAGAATGGGAGTATTTTAGTTGATTTTTACATGTCAAAACTCTGCTTTCAGAGTTAAGACAGTCCACTGGAAGAAGAAAATGTCATTAAATTTTGCTTTCTGCACATCTCTCTGCTTTAATATGTTGACATTTCACTGTGTCTTGCTTCAGTAATCCCTTAATCAAGGTGTATAAAATATTTCTAATTTTTTGCATAAAACCCTCTTGGTATCCGTGGCACCATTTCTCTGCTCTTTTCCAGAATCCTTCCAACTGCTGTTTTGTTTCAGGTGATGCAGTTCCTACAAGTCTGCCCTGTATTTTCTGTGCTGCTGCACTGGAGAACTGCTAGCATTCAACTTCATGATGCCTGACTTGTGTGTGAATGCTAAAATTGTATCTTCTGCTCTCACCTCATGCTGAAAATTCAGAGCACCTCACCTGGGAGCATGAGAAGTATCAAGCAGTTTTATCTTTCCTTTTGATTATTCTCCCACAATATGAATGAGGTGTTAATCAATTTAATCTCATTTCCTAATCTTCCATCTGCATTTCTAGCTTTAATAGGTTGTCCTATTTATTATTAAATAAATACATTATTTAGCTGGTGCCTGCAATACTGGATTGCTTCTCAAGCATGATTTTATGCGTTTTTGACTATTTTCACCTGTCAGAGAACTGATGAGAAGCTGAAACTTTCATGTTCTTGTCTGTAAGTATTTTGCAAATACTCAGACAGAACAGGTAAAAATGTTGTCACCTAGCAACTAATAGCACTTTTTCATATATATAAATATATATTTATATATTACTTTCTTCTGGAATTGCCTAAATTATATTCCCCTTTTTTTTTTTTCACTTGCATTTTTTGTAAGAAAATGAGAATGTGTTCTTAAGATTTTTGGAAATGGAAATTCAGCTGGCTGTTAAATTATAGTGCTAAGAAATGTCCAGCAGGTTATTACAGTCAAAAAATCAACATCTATATTCTCCTGGTATCTTTGAAAATGATGACTGTGAAAAAATCCCAGTAAACATGCATTTTTCCTATGCAATATGTGGGGCTGTGAGGGAACTGAGTTGCCCTTTTTTTGCACTGCTCTGTGCCACAGAACAATTTTAAGGGCAAAGTATTGTCCATTGCAGGCTCAGTATGTTTATTATTGTTCTGGAAACAGTAGGGAATCAAAATTGAGTAGAAAAAATCTTTCCAAAAACCTTAATTGCTTATATTATTCTCTAAGAAGATCCAGCAGATGACGCACTATTTTTCTTCGTCATTAAAGTCAAAGAATTTTATGTCAATTCCCAATTACCCAGTAGAGGAGCACAGGCAGAAAGAGCAGACATCACTCCAGGGGAAACTTGTCACTTCTCTTGCATTCTTGAAACAGTCAGATTCTTTAGAGGAAGGCACTAGAAATCCTGTCTGACCAATTTTTAATTAAATGCATATTTTAAAGAGGGTTTTTTTCCCCTCAGTCCTAAATGCACTTCTCTGTATATCTGAATTTTTGGTTTAGGTGTTTGTTTGTTGTTTCTAATCTTAACTAGGCCACTGCTGCCTTTGTTCTATAAATCCAACTGCTTTTTTTGAGTTGTGGTAATGATCTGCATAGGATTAGTCTGATTTTTAAAAAAAATTATTTCAGTTCTCCAGATTAACTACATTTTCAGGTTCTTTAATAGTAAGTTACTAACTTTGTAAGTTACTAACTTTTTAGTAAGCTAGTAGGAGACATGAGTCTCTGCTTTAAAAACTGGAAGTATCTGATTCACCTTTTCACTGTCTGTAATGTTTACTGCTTCTCTCTGACAATTGTCTTTTCAATGTCTTCTATAGGGACCACTTTTATGTATTTTTCACCACTTCCACTGAAACTTCTTGTAAATAATTGATTAGAACTGGACATATGATTACGAATGAAGCCATATGAAGGGCTTAAATAAAGTCATAATAAAGGAGTGTGTTATCCATAGGTGTGTTCATTTAGGTATGTATTACCCACCTCACCCAATACCTGTTGATGATGTGGTTCACTCACTTTTCACAAGGATGCTTTGCTGTTCTTGAGACCATTTTAGTCTGTTTGGACTCATCCTAGGACTTTACATCATTCCTCTCCATATAGATGACTGGGCATTTTCTGTGCATTACATTTGTTGTTCTGGGCTTAGGAAGGAGCCCTTCCACTTCTTTCTTTGGCCCACACTCCACTAAATGATTTTCAGCTGAGGAAAAATTTGCCATTTAAATTTTTCCCTTTATCTTGATCATTAATAAATGCATTACATGAGATTAATTTATTATTGAAACCTTTCTTCTGTGATGGGAAGCAGTGTCTTTTTCTTACTGTTTTTTATAATTTCTAACTGATTTTTAGTCTGTGATAGGACATGAGAGATTTCACTTTTTTTTTGCTTACTAGGATTTTCTTTTTTTTTTTGGTGTTCAGTTTTATTTAAGCCTTTCATTTTCTTCTCTAGCATTTTTTTTCTCCAAAAAACATTAAGACATATCCCAACAGAGCAACAGGGCTGCACCAGTGAATGTGCTCGAGGTTTCCCTTGCCTTTGGCCTTTTAAAGCATTTGGTTTTGCATTATCTGATTGCATTATCTGGATATTCCCATGAATTATCCCCAGATGTGACCAGCTCTGCAGGCAGCACAGGAGTTACAGGGCCCTGCTGAATGGAGATGCAGATGTGCTTCTCCCCAAATACCGAAGGCAGAGCTCTGCAATATTTGTTTGCAGTCATCAGTAGCTGCAGGATGTAGGTGCTGCTGCTTGCAAGTCCCATCTGTAGTCTCATATTCTACCTTTTCAAAGGAGAGATATTCATCATTATGTTCCTTTCCTAATATAACTTTCAGAGCCCTAATGCCACAGTTCCAGGTTAAATCTCTGTGAACTTCTTAAAGAAATTCAGAATACAAATAAACAGCAGGATATGGCTCATTAGTAAATGTTTGTGAGGTGAAGCAACTCTTTTAAACTCTTTTTTATTTTATAGACAAAATGATTGCAGAATACAGATGGATATTAAATCAATTTGATAGATCTCTATATAATCCCTGACAAGATAGTGCTCTATGGCAGGACTTGTTTTCTGATGCACTTCACTGGGCAGTTTAGGCTATTTGTTCTGCTTTACTCCTCTTAATGTGGGTCAAAGTTAGTCCAAAGTCAAACCCTGACTGCTGTTTTGTGTTGTTTGTTTTAGCCCCCCACTTGTGCTAGTGCAGGCTGTAACATTCCTTTTTCAGACTATTTTAGATCAATCTGCAGCTTAGCACAGCTTGTCTCTGCAGCTGAACAGATGTGTTTCAACAGGATGGAACTCTGCAGAATGATCCTAAAATTCTAGGGTTTTATGTAGCTCTTCTCACTGCTGGTTTTTCACTCTACCATCTGTATTGCCATCACACAGAAGTCAATGGGGCATTAAGAACTTGCTGATGCTGCTCTTTCTGGCTGGAGCAGGAACAGAGCTGCCACTTTGCTCTGCATTTTGCTGACTTTGTCACCCTTAATCAAGGCGACTATATGGATTCCTGGGACAGTTTTTGGAGCCAGTAGATGCACAGGGGGGAACTGTGGGACCTTTTCCTCCAGGAAAAGGAGGGAACCCATGCTCATGATCTTAGGAGTAACCAGCAGCTCTAAGTCTGCTCTGCCCCTTCCAATCCCAGTGCTTTCCCTTCTGCAAGGGGAAATAACAAACTCCAGTGGTGTACATCCATGCTGTGCCCCCAGCTGCTTTAGAGAGCAGGATTTTACTTAATTTTTTCTTCATATCTCCTAGTATTAATACCATAAGCAATCTTTCTCCCCACCCTCAACAGGCCCCAACAAACCCATGGGCAAAAATCCAATCACCCTCTCACACCTTGAAGAATGAAGAGACCAGGACCAACTTTTGAGGTGTTGCTTTAGAATTCAGCCTCATGAAAGCTTGACTAGAATTCATGCATTTGCTTTTTGATGTGTTTGCCTCCTCACTCACAGTGGGGTGGAAGGGATCATGGTCCTGCTGAGTGGCACAATCCATCTGTAATGGTCTGAAATGTTGTTGCTAAGCAGTGACACTTCCTTTTCCCCTGTCTGCCCCGTTTAAGTGAGTCAGGAAGCATGATGCAGCCTTTCTGTTTTCAGCTGATATTAACAGACTGATAGAGGGTCCTACCTGAGCCTCACTTCCTTCTGTGCCAGTTAGCTCAAGCCAAAAGTCCAGATCCCTCTTGCTTGCCCAGGCTGAGACCCTTTTGGTCCTCTCAAAAATGGAAAGACATGATCAGAGTAGCAAATTCTGCTCCATTGTTTCAGATGCTTCAGGTCACCCCAGAAATATGTGACTGCAAGACAGGGCAAAATTTAATTAAATGGCTTGGAAACACTCACTGGAGCATTGTTGCCTTTTCCTATGCTCTGGATTTATCTCATTCCTGTGCACATATCAAAGTACTGTGCTTCTGTCTTTTCTTCGCTGCTTGAAACCGATAAAACAATCCATCCCTGAAGATAATGAAGCATCTCTCGGAAGTAAAAAAGAAAAAAATATTACCCAATATCAGTTGTGTATGTTGCTGATTCCCAGCAGAGTTGACACCATGTGAAGGTGTGCCAGGTAGAGTCACACTGGTAACTCAGGGAAAACAGCACCAGGGACACAGGTGAGGCCAAGGCTCCAAATGCCATTTACAAAAAAGTGGACAGAGCATTGTTCTGTTATCTTGTTTCTATAATTTGTGGAATGGAGTTGGACTTGATGATTCTTGTGTGTCCCTTTCAAGTCAGAATATTCTGTGATCTCTGATATATTTGACTTTGTTGGGGCTGCAGGTGACAACATGCTTCTGCTGCTTTCAGTTTCACATCTTCTCTCTCAGTCGTAATAGATGTTTATTGAGGTATTGATTGTCCTGGTACATTTTTAAATTAAAAAGTAATATGCCAAATTCTTTCTGGAAGACACAGAATACAAAAGGAATAGTTTGCTTCAACCAGGGTTGCCAGGAAAAGATTAATGTTATTTATTACATGTTGATTTTTTGAAACATATAATTTTTTGCCAAAATATGTTGTATTATTCCTTGTCTTAAAATTCATGG